GACCTGTCTACAAACAAAAAACTGATATGTGCAAGATGTTAGCTTCCTATCTTAATTCGTTGTGACTCTAACGTGTTTACAACAGACGGACGAACGGTCAAGGTTAAATAACCTTAGAATTTTACGTTGATCAAGAATATATATGACTAGTTGGGTCTAAAATTATTATTTCGATGAGTTACAAACGGAATGAAACCTGAAGACATTCCATCGTTTATTTCTCATTTTATAGGAATTATAATTATTCAAAATTTCGACGCTTTGTGGTGGAGGTCCCAGATGCCAGATCTTTTGTGGGTAAAAGAATTGAGATGACTGAAATTTGAAGACCATGGTATTCTTACTTCACATTTATAAGACGATTATTAAAAATATTGACTCTTTGCGGGTGAAATACCCGGATAAACATATATCCCATTTCCTCGCAACATCTTGTGTTTATATGCCTTATTTCGTATTTTATAAGAGTTATAATTATTCTAAATGTTTACGCTTTGTGTGGGATGTACATGGGGGAGTGGGTCCATATGTCCATTTTTGCACCTGAGATAGCACTGATACAAATAATATCGGATGGTTCTATATGGAAAACGGCAGAAACAGGCGGACACCCTTAGATCGACTCAAAATGTCATTTTTGTGAAGCGCATACTTCGAAGGAGAAAGACTTCAACACCAAATCGGATCTTAACTGATTTTCACCGTAACGCTGAGTATCGAAATCACAACCTGCGGGATTTTTGTCAGAGACGAACATCATTTATTGGTAAATAAAGTTATTTTCGTCGTGTATTTAATAAAGAGTCCTTTATTTATCGAACTAGTGAGATGTTACCTTAAAATGTAACTTCGTGACGGTTCTGCGCCCAGCAAAATTTTGGATCGACAACAATGAAATAGTTTTCTCAGTCTTCGAATTCAATCTGAAATTATTTCACTAAAATTCAAACGGCCATCCCAACCTGCAGTAGTTTCGTTGTCTCTATTTCTCTATTTCTTTATCTCCTTCTCCGCAATATTGCAATTGAGCCATTTTTCAAGTTCGAAGTGAGTTCATGTCAAAACCGTGAAATCGGATGAAAATGTATATCGAAGCTATATAAGAATCTGAACCGAGCTCGATAAAATTTGGCAGAGGTATTTTCGAGTAGTATCTGAGGCCCGGTATCAAATATCATTGTTGTGGAATGCGCATGTGCGGGACTTTAATAACCAATTCGGATGAAACATATATGTAGGAACTATAGCTATATCCAAACCGATTTCCACCAAATTTGAGGGTATATATATAAATAAATGCATAAAGACACAATACCCTCACCAATATGTGGTGTTTGGTATAAAAAAAAAACAATGACAGCTTCTGTGGAACATAACTCTTATGAAATGAGTTACACAAATTCACGCCCTTTACTCTTGTAAGGCAAATAAGTTTTTAATACTTTTTTTTTCCTGAAATAGAGATACTATATTCTTCAGGATAATACATCAAGTGTTGTATGTAATTGAAATATTCTTCGAATTAAGGATTTCTTTTGAAATGCAAATCGTTAAAATGTCAATAGCCAACCCGTGTTTTCATTTCCAAGCAACTGTGGTTTTTATTTTGTTAAGTTAACTCTTAGGAATTTAAGAAAAAAAAAAAAAAAAACAGCAAGGACAAAACAATAGTTTTAATTTTATTTTCTAAATTTCTTTAAATATAAATACGAGTATGTGAGTGTTTGTGTGTGTGTCTCCTTTTTCTTCTTCTTTGAATTTTGCTATTTTATATGAATATAACAATGATGTATGGCTGTATGATATATGGTATAATAAAAAATACTACTACAATATTATAACACAATTTCACAAATTGCAATTTGGAACGACTTAAAGTCTAAAAGTTTCGTTTGTTAATTCTTTTATTTTTTTTTTTCAATTTAGATTTTTCCTAGATTACTATGGGTTTGTTTTCGTTTTCATTCAAAATATGTTTCATATCTAAATGTATTTTTGTATGTTGTGGTGGTAAATGTGTTGTGATGTTGGCTTTCGAGTAAAGAAAATCTTGGAAATGTGAACATTAAACATTATCAAAATGAAGTTCTTCAAAGCTTATAGTATCTACTATATTAAAAAAATAACAACCTTGAAAGGGAAATGTAGCATTAAGTATTTTTACTACCATCATAAAAAGGCTCATACGCCCCATAATGAGAATTTTGAGTGATGCCATTATATAAAAAAAAATATGGGTGTGGTTTTTATAATTATACTTTTTAACACAAAACTGCCGCGGACGATACATATGTATATATGTGTATATATGCATGTATCATTCTAATCCACCACAAGGAAACCCTATACCTTTGAAATATGACGAATTGTAATATTAAACAAATCCCCAACTAGAATTTGCTCAATTTAGTTCAGAGTTCAGTACAACGTATGAGTGATTTCGTATATTTCACATATTTCATATCACTCATACGCAGAGTTTTCATTCAAACGACCGGAGGCCACGACAGAGTTATGCCAATCTATTTCGATGAACTAGTTCCTTATATATTTTAGGACATTTTAAGTATAATCTTAATATATTTATAATTTCTTACGAAGTTGTCTTTAATAATGATAATAATATTTTTTGTTTGTAATCTCGACTTTTATAGAGCTTGAAAGTCCTTAAAATACATTTTTTGTGATTTACGATTTCAGTCAAGAAGCTTTGGATATTTTTTAAGCTGTGGTACTCGGCAGCTAGTTCTTTAAAAAATATTATTAGAAAAAGTACCATTTTGACGATGAAGACCTTGAAAATTATTTTAAAAAAAATTAAATTAAGGATCGATCTTGATAAATTTTGACTAAGGCTTTTCTGAGTATCAAATACAATTGTTTTATAGTGCATATTACCATTGTGAGTGACTTAAATGCCAAATCGGATGAAACGTATATATGGAAGCTTTAGCTTTATTTGAACCGATTTTCACCAAATTTGAAGTAATTGATTTGTGTATAGGCAATGAATGAAGTCCAAGTTTTGGCCCAAACATTGCATATCGTTATGTTTTTATCAAGCAAAATTTGGGGAACGAGTGTTCCAAATGTAGTACCATTTATTACAGTTCGAACACTTAGTACACATTTTCAAATCTATCTTCATATAGCAAACTTACTTTCCAACCTCGATTCTTATATAAAACAATTTGAAGTTTAGAAGTTTAGTACCATTTTATAACTTTTTTACTTTAAATTTCGAATTTCCAAAAACCCTTTGGATCATCTATCCTGCACACCATCAGGGTCTCTCTTTCTAAATTTCAGAAATCTAGCTCATTTCGTTTATCCAATACAAATTATTCTATTTTAAGTATAGTTTCACTTTAGTACGAATTTCGAAAAACCCAGCCGTATTCTCGGCTCTGTCCCCGACTTTCTTCTAATTTCACACCAACAATGCTTTTTTTTGCGGACATAAGTACGCCTCTTTTAGGTATTTTTGTAAAATATCATTTGGCAAGATCAAAATATTATTCATAGAAATAATGGGGTATACCCTTTGTCTCTCTGGGTCAAATGCTGTGGTGTGTTGGTGACCACACCAAGTACGAAGTAGGTACCAAGTATAGATGAAATTTGAAGATGGCCAATATGCGTCCACTTCTACTTTACTCGTACCTTCGCACAACCCATAAACGCTATTACAATCATGGATCACATATAGAGCGAAATTGCATTCATCATTTGCATCAAACTTTAGTCAGACCCACTGAGGTCAGACCCACATTTTGGTATATATGACGCATAAATACCTTTTTATACCCTACACCACAAGATGGTCAGGGTATTATTTCTTTGTTCATTTGTTGGTAACAGGCAAAAGGAAACGAGATAGACCCATAGTTCCTTTTTATGATCTGCATAGAATCACATTCTGAGTCGATTTAAGCATGTCCGTCCGTCGGACAGTCCGTCTGTCCATGTATTTTTGTGAACAAAGTACAGTTGGCATTTATTACCCGATCCAGATGAAATTTTGCACAAATCATTTGTTTGGCCCAAAGACGAACCCTATTGAAATTGGAGATAATCGGTAAAAATTTAGATATAGCTCCCATATATATTTTCGTCCGATATGCCTATTATTGTGCACCAAACGTGGAATATCAGCCCAAATAGTACGGAATTTTGCACATACAACCAAATTAGGCCTGAAAATAAGTATGCCAAATTTTGATCGAAATCGGTTCAGATATAGCTGCAGCTTCCATATATATTGTTCATCCGATTTGTTATTTTAGTCCTCCGCAGCCGTAATATGCACTCTGTAACAACAATATTTGGGGAAATATATCAAATACAGCTCAGAAATACATTTGCTAAATTTTATGGAGATCGGTTCAGATTTGCATATATCTCCCATATATAAGTTCGTCCGATTTACTTTTTGTTGTGCACCAAACGTCTAATATTTGCCCAAATGGGATGAAATTTGGCACTTGCGACCGAATTTAGTCTAGAAGCTAGTATGTCAAATTTGGTGAAGATCGGTTTAGATATAGCTATAGCTCTCATATATATTGTCCGATTTTTGATATTTGAATTTGAAGTGGTGTAGGGTATTATAAAGTCGGCCCCGCTCAACGTTAAGATTTTTTTACTGGTTTACATTGTTTTATTTTGCAATCCGCTATATTACCATATTTTCGCTAGGCGTCGGGGATTTCTTCGAAGCTATTTGAAATGTCTTGTCGAAATTATTCTCTAATATATTGATAAAGTCGATGGCCACTCTTCAATATGGAAATCAAAAATAAAAAAAAATATTTATTTAAAAATTAAAAAAAAAAAAAATTGAAATGTCTTGTCGAAATTATTCTCTAATATAATGATATAGTCGATGGCCACTCTTCAATATGGAAATCAGAAATCAAAAAAAAAAAATATTTATCTAAAAATTTAAAAAAAATAATAATTTTCCAAGATTTCTTAAATTCGAATTTCAATGATAATGTCATAATTATGTCTAGATTCATATATGAACGTATGTGTGTTTATGTGTGAGTCTTGTATATAAAAATTATACAGTTGTAGTTAATTTAACAACAAATTGTGTTTTTAAATATTCCATGTTATCGCTTAAAGACAATTTCTTTTCATTCATTATTTTGTTATTTCTGTTTAAATTTTCGTTCTCTTTTTATTTAAGAATTCAATAGAGCAATATTTTAGTTATTTATAATAACTGAAAATATCTCTGGAAATGCGTTTCATGTTAAGTAGATGTTTTTCTTTCGTTTACCTTAATTGGAATTTTCAAAAGGACATAGGTATGTATAAAAAATGTCTGTTACAAATCAAAATGAACAATAATGGATGTTCATTCAACGGAATCCTTAAGAAACAAAAACGAAAAAAAAACTAAATTAATTGAACACAACATTTTCATTTTTTTTTTTTTTTTCATTTTCTTATCTTTTCACATCATTTTCATTTTCACTTCGGATGGTGCTCAAGTATTTACCAAATTAAAAAAGTTCCATTTTGCTTTAAGGTCCTTCTCACATCAATGAGTTCACCGGTGAGTGGGTCGCTCTGGGTAACACGGCCACAGTTGAGGGGGGCCATGTTTGTGGTGATAATGAGGGAGGCGGTTGGTTGGTAACGATAGCCACATTGCCCATTGCTGACTTCCAATGAATTTTATCTAGTTAAGTAGGCCGGTAATAGCAGGAGAATTGATGCAAGAACAATTAAATTAATTGCCCACGTCTGCCGCGTAGGGCACTGCCAACAGATGGCATTGCCATGATGTAACTCGGCAAAACTTTCACCTGTTCAGGAATAGAGAGAGAGAGAAAAAAACGAGAGAAAGAAGGAGAATTAAAATAAGAAATAACAAGAATGGAACACTAAAACATTACATCAAATTACAAGTGTACTTAAGTAAATGTGACAAAAGTTGTAACAGCGCTTAATTAAGTGGCAAGTTATAATTAAGGTACGGATGCCTTCATTACGGTTTAACATGAATGGGAATGAAATGAAATTCCAATGATAAGTAAATTAATGGCTACAACATGTTGCAAGTCAAACTTGTGCAAAAAAGTTTGTTGTAAAATTCGGCAAGCAATGTTTTTGTTAATATATGGGTAATTCCCTGCTAGATTTGGCAAAACGAAGTCCTTTTTTTGCAATAAAGAAGTGGACGGAAGAAAACAGCAACATCAGCAGGAATTGTTCAAAAAGTAAAGAAGCTACTTGATCGAAACTCGCGTCGCAGTGGCCGGAAAATGGCTCGTGAGCTGAACATATCGCAATATTCCATTCGGGAAATATTGAAAAATGAGCTGGGGATAAAGTCATTGAAATTCCAAAAACTGCATGAACTTACACCGCAAAAAAAAAAAGAAAAGAGAATCAAAAGGGCTAAAGAGTTGCTTCGCTTGGCCGAAAGTTGTAAACAGCCGAATTTGGTTTTCTCTCTCGTTGTCCACCAGTTTGTAAACAAAAACAAAATGATCGTGTTTACTTGCCAAGGAGGTCAGCTGAAAATGTTCACATTCGGTTGACCACCAGAACTCAAGCGCCGTCCATGGTGATGGTGTGGGCCGCCATAACAGTCGATGGTCGCTCTAATCTCATATTAATTGACCGTAGCATAAGAATAAATGCCGAATATTATCGCGAAAATATTCTGTAGGGTGTATTGAAGCCTTGGGCACGCAAACATTTTGGCCGCAGACCTTGGACATTCCAACAGGACTCAGCACCATCGCACTCACCTCGCACCACCTAAGAATGGTTACAAAGGTTCCTTGCTTTATTTCCAGCGCAAAATCTCCGGATACCAATCCGTTGGACTATTGTGTCTGAAGTATTCGGAAAATACCGCATGAATGTATCAAATTTGAAGAGATTTGGATGCTTATTTCGCTTTCTTTGAGCGTTTGGATTTTAAAAATCTTGAACCCTATGAGAAGAAGGTACCAGAAGAAATGGTCCGATTTCTTCCATCTTTATAACAGAACTTATGTTGATGGAAATATTGAGATGTACCAGTTTGGAATGGAATCGGATGTAATTTTTTTATTTCGGATTTTATAATCGTTTCGGTTATTCAAAATATTGACTTTTTGTGGGGGAGGTACCAGAAGTAATGGCCTGATCTGTATCATCTTTATAACAGATCTTGTGTTAATAGAAATATTGAGATGTGCCAAGTCTGAGTGGAATCTGATGTAAAATTCAAGTTTTATGAGCTTTATGGGTGATCAAAATGTTGATCCTTTGTGGGCGAGGTACTTGATGGAGTAGACAGATATTTTCCATTTTCGCAATTGATTAATTCTGCTGTAAATATTAGGATTTTTAAAGTTGAAGCAAACTCGGACTATCCTTTCTCTTTCTGTGCAGTAAAATATTTTTTTTTAATTTCGACCTTCTGTGAGGGTGATACCAGAAGGAGTAGACCAATATTACCCATATCCGAATTCGATATAAGTTTGAAAATAAGATTATGATGTGCCAAGTTTGGAGTAAGTCGAATACTCCCCTAGAGAGTTACCGAGGGCACCAGACAGACAGACCCGATGTACGGGCATCGCTATATCGACTTCAAATGCCCTGAAAAGACCTAGGGTCTAAAACCGTTATTTCGATGAAGCAAGATTTGTCCGTATCAAATGATGTAAACCCTCTCTAGCCATATGACTGAGGGTATAATGAATATAAACATTATTATGAAAATGTTCCAGCGCTGGACATAAATGTAATAAATCATCTCGAAATATTTAGTTTATCTTAAAATCAACTCATTAATTGCACTATTTAATACAATAAAATTGTTTATACTATAAATTAATTAATAAAATTGTTTATACTTTCATTGCGTACAAATTGTGTAATTAAATGACTTGGTGTGATATGTATGTATGTATGTAATGAATATATTGAGCGCATTGATGTGTCGACACTCCAACCAACAATCAAACTTACCATTCAGTATGTGTACAACTATGGTATAGTTCTGATATTCACTAATTGAGCACGTATAGTTGCCGGAATCGGCTTTATTGATTTTGGCAATAAATAGCGTGGAGTTGGCGCCATCATCCATCAATTCTGTTTTTACACTGCAAACAAATGAAGTTTAACAAAATGAAATTAAACACCAAGTTTTTTTCGGGAAATTTTGCTATAATCTATGGAAAAAAGTATATATTCAATTCAAATAATATTATTGTTATTATTAGGAATACAATATATGAACTAATAATTTTTATTTAAATAACATAAAGGAAAATGCAATAGATTTTTAGAAGTTATGTAATAAACAGGCAAGTATTGTATTACAAAATGCAAATAGAAATGGAGTAAAACAAATAAAAAAAATATTAAGTTCGGCCGGGCCGAACTTTTAATACACTCCACATGAGGGTAAAGGAAACATTTGACACAAAAATACCAATTTTTAGACATGTTCTCGGGAAAATGTGGCCAACGGTACCAGGAGGTACCGTTATATGGGGGCCATACCGAAACGTGGACTTATACATACAATGTTTCGCCACACGAACTAGGACAAATTTGGCAATTATAATAAAAATCGGTTAAAAATTCTGTTAAAATCCTAAAACCAGTAAAGACGCCCGACTTTATGATACCGCACAACACTTTGCTAATTTAGTAGATCTCCACATAACAATTAAAAGATTTTATGGGAGAATTCAATCATACACGCTATGATTATAATTATAATTCAAAGTTCAAAGGACTAAATATGCCGAAGCAATTGTACATTTTAAATTCACACTAGTATTGCCCATTTGATATATATGGGAGCTATATTTCATATATTTCCCTGAATATCGTTGTTGCGGAGTGCATATTACGGCTGTTTGTAACAAATATAAAAAATCGGATGAACTATGAACTATATCTGAACCGATCTTCACCAAATTTGACATACTAGCTTCTAGATTCAATTCGATAGTAAGTGGCAAATTATTAGACGTTTGGTGCACAATAATAAGTAAATCGGACGAAGTTATATATGGGAGATATATCGAAATCCGAACCGATCTCTATAAAATTTTACAAAGGTATTTCTGAGCTGTATTTAATCTATTTATTATTTATTATATTACTGCTGCGGAAGACTAAAATAACAAATCGGATGAGCAATATATATGGGAGCTATAGCTATATCTGCACCGATTTCGATCAAATTTGGCATACTTATTTTCAGGTCCAATCTGATCGTATGTGCAAAATTCCATACTATTCGGACTGATATTGGTGCACAATAAAAAGCAAATCGGACGAAGATATATATGGGAGCTATATCTAAATTTTTACATATTCTCTCCAATTCTAATAGGGTTCGTCCTTGGGTCAGACAAACGATTTGTGCAAAATTTCATCTGCATCGGGTAATAAATGCGAACTGTACTTTGTTCACAATAATGCATGGACAGACGGACGGGCGGACGGACATGCATAAATCGACTCAGAATGTGATTCTATGCAGATCATCAAAAGGAACTATAGGTCTATCTCGTTTCCTTTTGCCTGTAACTAACAAATGCACAAAGACATAATACCCTGACCATCTTGTGGTGTAGGGTACAAATACCGAATGTAGCCGTATATTAGGGTCTATACGACGACGTGGAACTGCATACGTAACTTTTGTCATAAGCCTGCCCAGACAATTTTCTGGCATAACCTGTAGTATCCATTACGAACTTCAAATACAAAATTTGAAATGATTCCGGTAAATAATGTCGCTAAAATCACTAAAATACCGTATATCGCGGGTACCGTTATATGGGGACTATACGAAGTCGTGGACCTGCACGGACAATTTTCTGTCACAGGCTGTAGTATCCATTACGAACTTCAAATACGAAATTGGAAACAATTCCGGTGAATAATGTCCCTTAAATCATGAAAATACCGAATATCGGGGTTTCCGCTGTATGGGGGCTATACGATATCGTCGACAAATCTCTTTCAGAGAGTAAAGTACTCAAAAAGAACTCCTTGTGTGGAATTTCTGACAATTCCATTGAAAAACGTGGGAAAAATGATCAAAATGCAAAATTTCGGGGACATACGATTTCGCGGACCTCTATCGATAAAACTCATCCAGTGGATAAAGTTCTTATAAAGAACTTCCTTTGTAGAAGTTTTGATAATTCCATTTCCAAGCCCAAACGAGGGGATATTTCATTCTAGTCAAAAGTGTTTGGAAACTTTGCGGCAAATTTTAGTGTTGTAGGGTATCAAGTGGTCGGCCCGCCCGCTTACTCGTTTTTTTACCCTCAGCCATATTGTTATAAGGGTATATATAATTGGATACGGCCAAAACGTGCCTCATCGAAATAACGGTTTTAGACCCTGTACCAAATTCGTGTCAGGACATTTGGAGTCGATCTAGAGATATCCGTCCGTCCGTCTGTCTTTTTATCCGGCTGGGGCGCACGATAACGCCCGTAGGGAGTATCCGATTTAGTCAAAACTTGGTACATTATAATATTATAGTCAAACGTAGATCGAGTTCGGAAATGGGCAAAATCATTTTACTTCACGAAAGTTTATAATTTTCAATGAAAATAATTTACATTATTGTCTTCAATATTTCTACCTACACAAGATCTGTTGTAAAGATTTGATATATCGATCCTCTCCTTCTGAACCCTACAAAGAGTCAAAATTTTGAAGAGCCATGAAGCTCGTAAAGCTCGAAATGAGCATCCCATTCTTTTCAATCTGGGAATATCACAGTATTTCTATCAATACAAAATCAGTTGTAAAGATGGATCACTCCTTCTAGTAACTCCCCCACAACGGGTCAATCTTTTGAATAACGCAAGTTCTGGTGTAAAAATGACAGATATTGGAAATACGGTCCAAATACCTAAAATCTGGTTGTACAGGCTATACCAAATGTGGTCCGATACATGCCATTTTCAATCCAATAAGACAAACAAAACAAAAAATTGGTAAATAGAAAAATTTCAGTCATCTACGTTACACAGTGGTTGAGAATATTCCGGTCGAAATGATGTAACTGGTCGAAATTCTGTAACATATGAACATAATTTTTTTTGTTGTAATATTTTATGTTTTTCTTCAATTTTTTTTTTTTTTTTTTTTGTATAAAAAAAATTAAGAACTCCGATCTTGGAGTTTTGGCCAGGAAACGACAAATATTGGGTCTTTGTCCTGGAAAATATAACTCGATCGATCTCCCTGAAAATTCGAGTGATTACCATACACGGTCTGATACTCAGACAGTCATTTTTAGACATAAAATCCAAATGTCTGTATGAAATTTGTCGAACAAATATAAAAATTATGCTTATTTTATACCCTCCTCCTTTGAAATGAGTAACATCTCTACATATTCGTCATAGACCTCATAAAGTATATATTGTCATGATCAGCATAAAATTCTAAGTCGACTTAAAGATATCCGTCTGTTTGTAGAGGTTTGACATGGATGTACCTCCCGATATTCTGTATTTTGATGGTTTTAGTCACATTTTTTCACAAAATTGCCCCAATTTTGGTATTGAGAGTTTGCAACGAATTCTACCTCCGGTGGCAGAACATTACCTGTCTGCTTGCTTGTATCGTCCATACCGATATCCGGTTTTTTGTGATATTTAACGGAATTGTTCCAAATTTGGTATTAAGACTTTGTAACCGGTTCTACTTCTGGTGGCAGAACTTTTTCTGTATAGGTCCACCTTACATTCGGATATTCGGTATTTTGACGATTCAAGCCCAATTTACTAGCGGTATTTTGTACTTGTAGTTTGGTGGAAGAGCATTGTATATATGGGTCCACATTTTCCTATATCGATCATGTATCGGTACCTCCCGATATTCGGTATTTTGGCAATTTAAGCTAATTTTTTTAATTTTTTTTTCAATTGCTTATTCACAGTTTGTAATGGGTTTAACATCTGCAATATATCATTGTACACATAGGTCCACTTTTTTCTATAGTCCCAAACAACAAAGATTTCAAAGATCATTTACCTAATGGCGAATGATATTGAAAGTTCGGCCCGGGAGAACTTAATATTTTTTTACTTGTTTTTAAATAATTTGTTAAACAAATCTTTGATTGCCCTTTTTTCAATTTTTTCAATTGTATTTAAGATCTTTTGGTTGTGTTAATAACATAATTTAATTTGCTGTTAATTACAATTCGTGTTCGAAGTATGTAGGAAACATGCTTGCAACTGTTCATATCGGTCCAGTGTTGGTATGGTCCCCGTATAACTGTTCATTCAGATATTTGGTATTTTAATAACACTTTCCGTCACATTTTCCCCCAGAGTTGTTTCAAATTTTGATATTTGGAGTTCGTAATGGGCACCACAGGTCCATATCTTCGTTTTTCCAACTCCAACAATAAATTTAAAGTTACAGTTGTTACATTGTAATAGTAACATTGATTCCCTTCCCCTCTAAAACATTCTCAAAAACCAAATCATTTTCGAATAACAGATTCTAACTTACTTTATTCCGCCACGGGTAACGTCATAGTTGAGGACATCTTCACTGTGTTTCCAAAACACAACAGATGTTGACATAGCAACGTTGCGCACAACACAAGATAGCTGTAGCGTTGAGTCCTGCTCGTAGTATTTCTCCTGCAAGGGATCGCCAAACTCATCGACAATCATGACTTTGGGCGCTATTGGATAAACACAAAAAAAAAAACAATGCAACGTTCAGTATCCGGATTATCCCACTATTATCGGATGGAGATTTTATGGCAACACTCCCACTATACTATCACACTTACCATTTACATGCAGATTTATTTGTATCACTCGTGGCGGATGTGTGGATATTTGGCATTCGTAGGTGGCCTCATCATCCTTTTTTACATTGGAAATTTTTAAACGCCAATTATTCGGGTATTGAAATTCCATTTTGTAGCGCTTGTCGCCGGTGTATGTGTGCAGGCCAACGGTGAGTAGATCCAAGGCATTTTCCCCTCCGGGATTGCGGCGCACCCACGAGACCTGTCGAAATTAGAGAGAATGACACGAAAGAGGACAACATCAAAAACAAAGTGTGTAAAAAGTCTTTAACGATGATGCCACTTAAAGCAAACACAAGTGCAAAGTTTGCAACGTTGAAAACGTTTTCGTATTCGTATTCGTTAGTGCCCGCAAGTGAGCGGCAAGCTTGTAACGAGCACTTGTTAAACCAGCAGCAACGGCAGCGGCACCAGCAGCAAAGTCAAAGTGCAATGAAGTAAATAAAAGGCTTATTGTGGTCGTTAAGGAAATTCGCAATATTATCAGGAAACGGAAGTTTTAACAGAATGGCAACAACACCAACGCAACAAGGATTCCTTAAACATTGTTGCATAATATATGCAGTATAAAGCTTCGACAATGTTGCACTGTGATTTCGTGGGGGACGAGAAAGATGGCATACATACATAAATACATGAGATACGTATATTATACATATATTCTTGATCAGTACGAGATTTTACGTCCTACCGGTATGTCTGCCTGTCAATCTACCTTCTGTAAGAATTAAAGTGCGAAGATTAAATCAGCGTAAAATTCTAAGACGATTTAGCTCTCTCCGTCCGTCTGTTGTAATCACGAATTAAGATAGGAAGCTAACATTTGGCACAGATCAGTCTTTTGTGTGCAGGCAGGTCAAGTTCGAAGATAGGCTCTGTCGGTCCACGATATCGTATAACACCCATATAATGGTACACCTCCGATATTCGCTATTTTGATGACTTTAGCCACATTTTTCCTTCTGAGAACATTTCCCCCCTGGAAGAGTATTGCCTAAATAGCTCCACGATGACGTATATCCCCCAAATAACGATGCCTCGCGGCATTTTGATGATTTTAGCCACATTATTTACCGGAATTGTTGTAGTTCTCAAAGGGTACCACCACCTTATGATGAAAAATTGTCTATGCAGGTCAACATTTTCGTATAGCTCCCATATATCGGTTTTCATTTGAGCGGCATTTTCGGCGAATTTTTTTTTTGGAAATCTTTCAAATTCTTTTAAAATTGTGTAGGTTATTAAAAGTTCGGTCGAAATTAGCTAGGTTTTTACCTGGTATACCCTACAACGCCATCTGTTCGGGGTATCATAAGTTTGATTGGGCCTCGAAATATTGGTCATGCACATAGGATATCATATATGAATCTTCCTATCTCGCTAAAGGTCGCAAATAAGGCCCGATCCTCACGAAATTTTGCATAGAGTTCAGAATAGAAGCCTATTGCAGATGATTGCAAAATATGTAGGTATGAAATGGACCCAAAACAGAAAAATTTCCTGATTTTGCAGTTCCTATAGAGGTCCCAATCATAGACCAATCGACTCGGAATTTTACATTTAGCTTAAGTTAAGGGGTTTTTTTAGAAAACTATAAAAACATCATTAAACAGCGAAAAGGTCATTTCTGACCCTTACATCGATGCTAATAAAAAAAATATCGCTTATATAGCAAAAAAAAAAAAAAATAAATAAATACTCATATATCATAGAAAGGGATCTGAATTACCGACCGGTTATAACTTAATACGAATTTTGAAAATTCTAATCAATTCAGAATGGGCTTTTGGCAGAAAATAATAAATTCTAGAAAAATCGCTTAAAAAGAGGACAAATAGTTTTGATTTTTAGTCATATTTTTTATCGCATGATATTTTTTAAATTTTACTTATAATATTGAATTGTACATTGTGATTTTATTCACCGTACAACACTATGTGTTGGAGATAATATATATTATGGTCGCAATTATCGTTCGATCTTCATGGTGGTTGGGTTAGGATCACAATAGAAGCCTATGGTTTTAAAGGATGTTCGCAAAGAATTTAAGTTTATAATTGATCAAAAACCTAAAAATTGTCTAGATTTTGCAGTCGCCCTAAAGTTCTCAACTAAGGACCAATAGATATGGGTTCTTTTATGAGGTTAGCATCAAGGACTGCGCTGAAGCCCAGAATTTTGAATGGTCATCGAATAATATTTAACTGGTGAAATGGACATGAAAGGCGGATTCATGTTGATTTCATTGACAAATAAAGCCAAATATTAGAGATATAAAAAATCACGTAGAAGAATCTAAAATTTCACAGGATTTACATGACCTCGTATTCTCTGCCAAAAACCAAGATAAAACTTTGGTAGGAGTATGTGATATTATTTCAAGAATGAAATGAAAATAAAATGTTCAATATGCAGAGAAAAAAAAATTAATTTGAAATTTCTGTTCTTTCGAAAATAGCAAATCAGAAATTTGATGTAGTGGGAATATCTGCTTCGACAAATTCCGATGTTTTTTTAGAGATTATATGTTTTTGGAAAATATTGGTTCCAGATCAGATGATCCATAAACTAGTCATAAAGGTTTCAGCCACATGGCTATTTAAGGCTCTAGGTCTCTTTGTACCGAATCCGTTTCAGGACATTTGGAATAGATCTAGAGGTTCCGTTCCGTCTCGCGTTCCGAGAGGATCAATATCGGTCCATTGGTACCTCCCCCGCAAGAAGCCAAAATTTTCGAAGAAAATAATTTACCTCATCGAAAGTAAAAGGATCATTAATTCAAGTAAACACCCCCGATCGATCATAAAATGCAAATTGAACGTGCACTTTTTTACACATTCTAATATTTATACTTAAACAATGTATCGTGTGAAGGTGGAGTATATTGGTCCACTCCTTCCGGTACCTCCCCCACAACGGATCAAAATTTCGAATAGCTATAAAGCTCGTAAAACACGAAATGAGCAACAGATTTCTTTTAAATTCGATACACCCCAATATTTCTATCAACACAAGATCTGCTGTGAAGATGACAGATATCGGCCTACTCCTTCTGATACCTCCCCCACAAAGGGTCAACATACCACGCTATCTTTCGAACGAATTGAGATAGAGGGCTAAAATTTAGCCAGTAGGCAGGTTTAGCTCATAAATTGGCCATGCCGGTACCTCCCGATATGCGATATTTTAATGATTTTAGGGACATTTTTCACCAGAATTGTTTCAAATTTGATATTTGAAGTTCGTAATAGATACTACGGCTTAAGACAGAAAATGGGTCATGTAGGTCCACGTCTTCGTATAGCCTCCATATAACGATACCTCCCGATATTCGATATTTTGAGGATTTCAAATTTCGTATTTTAAGTTCGTAATGGTTACTAATGCAGGTCGACGTCTTCTTATAGCCCATATGTATTCACCGGAATTGTTTTACATTTCGTATTTTACATTTGTAACGGTTACATTTAAGCGATATTTTTGACGTTTTTTTTTTTTTAATTTTTAAGTTCCTTCCAAAATGGTCGAGGGTATTAAAAGTTCGGCCCGGTCGATCTTAGCTGCTTTTTTACTTGTTTTTACTTGTTTGTTTATCATAGAAATGATTTGCATTTAATTTCGTGTTTGTCACGTAAACACTGTTTCGCCCTTTAAGTCCCAACGACAAAGTTCTTTTTACGACCAGCAGCATTGGACGTTTCTGCTTTTTTGTTGCTGATGAATTAAATGGAAATTATAAACAAGACAAAAACATGCACTTCAGTTTTACGACACTAGGAGTTGGGAAATCTATTTCTTATAACAATTCCTGCCACTGGCTTGCGCTGTTGCAGTCAAAGTTTGCCGTTTGCCATTGCCACTTAAGAAAAACAATCCGCCCAAAGTTTGGTTTATTTCACTCCCAAGGAGTGAATATTGTTTATGGGAACCAATTTTTTCCGGCCAAGACAAGTCTCTGGGCTTTGCTTAAAGTTCTGTATCTTAGCTGTGTGGCAGTTGGTTTACTTACAGTCTTATCTTGGAGCAAGGATATTCTGCAATTTAAGTGTATACTGCTGCCAGCCTGTACTGTCATATTGGTTGGTTTTCCCACCAGCTGCACATCCTCGAAGTGTGGTCCATATCTGTAAGAAATAGAACAGAGAGAGAGAGAGAGAGAGTGAGACAGAGTAGAAAAACAAACTTTTGTGATGCTGGGCGAAAACTTTAAAACTGTAACATACACTATTGGCCTTCATGCTACAAATATTGCATGACGTTGATGATGTGAATGCCAACGAGAACGAAGAAAAACAAAAACTTTCTGAAGGACAACAACAACGCGAAAAAAAAGTACTGCCGCTACTGACCATAAATGTTGCATGCAACAAAGGTACCCGAAAAAATGTGTTAAACTTTGCTATTGGCTTTGCATTTTAATGAACCGGCTTATCTGCGTGCAACTGCATCCTGTTGGTGACTTGTGACCACTCACACCAGGATCTCTAAATGAAAACAAGGCCAGGCTATTGAAACGCCCCTGTTTTTGTATTTCTCTTTTAAGTTTGAGTTCAGCAAATTAAAAAGCAGTGTCCTTTTGTCAGATACCGGCCAACAAGAAGTTAATTATTACCAATCCCACGGCCAGTTACGATGAACAGCGTTTATAATGAAATTTATATTGAAGCATAAATGGCCCCGGGAGCTTTAGCACTTTGAGTAAAATTATTGTTAATTGAAGTTTATTATCATTGAGTAATTGCATTTATTCGACTTGGTTTCAGTTTTCCGTAATTTGGTTCCAATTTAAAATGAAAGTGAAACACTTGTTTGGCGTTTATGGGGGAAAGACCGGTAGATTCAATAACTTCTGAATTATCGCTAAGTCTTTCCGACCGAAACTGCTTGGGTAAGGATTTTTTTTATTAATTTCGGTAAATTTACATCTAAATTAGATAAAATTTATAATTAACGAGATGGATTAGAACCTTACATCTTCAGTTTTATAATTTTTATAAAAATGTTGATGCATATGTGTGGACTTGCATTAAAATTTAACAATTGATTGAAAAACAATCTTACGAGAAAATACATTTTAAGTATCCTATATCAGTCCTGGAGAATATGACCTTTCATTGTTCTGAAAGCTTGGGGTGTCGTAAGCAGAGCTACAAAATTCGAGCTCCACTTTTTCCTAGAATTGGAGCGGGAAGACTTCTGCGAATTGAAAAAGATGCAGAGCACAAATGTACTCGTTTTTACTCGGCAGTGAAACTTGATCGCAAGCTGAGTTACATACCACACTGCCGAAGCTAACAGAGTCCACAAAAATTGCACGAAAAATTTGCTGTGTTCGTGCAGTAGTACCAGGATGTGCATTGAGAAAATACAAAGCCGATACGACAAAAACTTAAAGAGTACCAACAAGGGTAGATTATGCTCAATTTAGAGAGAATTTTGCTTTCACTCTAAAACAAGCAAACCATGCTCACTCTTATTCGATTGATATGGAAAAATAGAGTATGCTCTACTTCTTACCCAAGAGGGACTTCCGAGCTTCATTTTCTACTCGAATCCACGCGAATATTTCTGGGACCTGGAAAAAAACACGAGTATACACAATTTTTTTATGTACGAGTAAGATTAGCAGATTCACTCTTCGAGTACTCTTTTAGTAAAAACATTGAAATTCCAGAAAGTGCATGAACTTACACCGTAACAGAAAGAAAATAGACTCAAAAAGGCTAAAGAGTTGCTTCGCTTCGGTTGGCTTGGCGAAAGTGGTGAACTGCCGAACTTAGTTTTCTCCGATGAGAAAACATTCGTTGTCCAGCAGTTTGTAAAGAAACAAAATGTTCGTGTTTACTTGCCAAAGAGGTCAGCTTAAAATGTGCACCTTCGGTTGGCCACTAGAACTCAAGCGCCGGCCCTGGTGACGATGTGGGCCGCCATAACAGCCGATGGTCACGCTCGTATTAATAGACCGTGGCATCAGAATAAATGCCGAATATTATCACGAAAATATTCTGGAGGGTGTATTAAAGCCTTGGGCACACAAACATTTTGGCCGCAGACCTTGGACTTGCCAACAGGACTCCATCGCACTCAGCACGCGCCACCCAAGAATGGTTACAAAATGAGGTTTCTCGCTTTATTTTCAGCGCACAATGGCCACCAAAATCTCTGGATACCAATCCATTGGACTATTGTATCTGGAGTATTTTGGAAAGCAAGGTTGGCACTAAAAATACCAAGCAATCGCGGGAATGGACCAAAATATCGCAGAGCAACATTCGCCCAGCGTGTGACGGTTTCATTGGCCCTTTGAAGGCCATAATTCGTGCCAAAGGTGACCAATTCGAACAAATCTAAACTTATTCTAAAGTTTTATGCTATTTCTGGTATTTTTGGCTACCATTCAATAAAAGTTAAAAAAAATTAAAAAATATTGCGTTTGACTTTGTTTCAGTTTTTTTTTATCTCACCCTGTATATCCTTGATCAGCATAAAATTCTATGTCGATTTAGCAATGTCCGTCCGTCTGTCTATGTTTTATATTTCGTATTTGCAGTTCGTAATGGGTACTAAAACCTGTAACAGAAAATTACGTATACAGGTCCAGATCTTCGTATAGCCCCCATATAACGGTACCTCCCTATATTCAGTATTTTGATGATTTTTGCGATATTATTCACCGGAATTGTTTCAAATTTCGAAGTTAAAGTTCTGAACGAGTACTTCAGCCTGTGACAGAAAATTGCCTATGCATGTCCAGGACTTCGTACAGACTCCAAAATATATCCCTATATTCGGCATTTTTATGATTTTAACAGTATTTTTTCAACATTTTTATTTTTTTTAAATCTCCAAATTCCTTCCGAATGGTGGCGGGTATTTAAAATTCGGACTGGCCACACTTACCGTTTTTAACTTGTTTTTTTTTACTTCAATATTTTTTAATCGACCTTCAAAATAATATGTATTTTCAGCTACTTGCTTATAGGGTTGAATATGGTTAAACTTTAAACATTGCACATAATAATGCGTTTTAAATACTTCAGAACAAATCTGACATCACCACATACTAACAGAATTATTTACACAACCAAATACAATTTCCATTCCCAGAGTAATTAGAATGGAGAATTAAAACGTTATATTTAATGCAAAACATGTTTAAAATCTCCAAACTACTTGCGCCGAATCATAGTCATCATCTGCTGCCATAAATGTATCACCAGCAAATGCAAATGTTACTCCTTTGTTTATGTGTCATTTGTTATGATGGATTCACCAGCTAAAGCTATGATATATTACTCATAATGCTCCCAGTATTCCCTGTCACTCTCCGCCAACCGAACAAAAGGCAACATGTGTGGGTGTGCGTGTGTGCAACGCCATAAAAGAAAATGCATCAGAATTTATGATTCGCTTGCGAAAGGCAACATCTGTGAGAGCACATGTTAAATGAAGTTATTCATTCGATAATCCGATTAAGGTGACTCAATGGATTTATTAAATGTTCCATAACTAGATTCCCCAAAGCTCCAAAACAATTCGAAATAGCTTTTCGATTTGGTAGTGTTGCCAGAGAAATGACATATTTTCGTTTTGTAAATTTATGCTAAAGTAGATGATAGAACAAAAATTTGATATATGCAATGAGGCATGAAGGACTTTTAGTTCTCAGCCGTTAAAAACTAGTAAAAACTAATAAAATATTAACATAAATAGAGAATCCAGACTTGTTAGCGATTTTGCCAAATTATTAAGTAAAGAATTTTTATATCAAGCCAATTTTTGGTTTCCGTTTCTGATAAGCAACCAAAATCGATATTGTGACTGAAACGTTCAAAAATCTAAAATTCAGGAAATACAGTTAAATGGGAGAATACCATCAAACAAAATCGACCCGTTCCTGAATGTACAAAATCGATTACAACTGTTTACTAGAAAACATTTTCTGTACCCGCAACTTCCGTTAACACTTTTCACTAGACCAGCGCTGAGAAAAATCCTAAAAAGAGATTATTTAAAAACCAATAATGATGAAGTCTAGAAAAAATTAAAAGAAATTGGACTGGTGCTCTAGAACACATTGTTGACCACTTATGCACCATACAAATTTAGCCACATAACAAATAAACAAGCTGTAAGTTCGACCTGGCAGAACTTTAAAATACCCTCCACCCTTTGCAACGAATTCGGCTATTTTCAAAAAATTAAAATCCGTCAACAATTCTGTTAAAATCTTAAAAATGCCGTCGTTATATTAGGATATATACGACGACGTGGACCAGCATAGGAAACAATACAATATTGAAATGCGGAACTCGAAAAAAAAATCGGTGAATAATATAGCTAAAATCATCAAAATACGAAGACGTGGGCCTGCCCAAACAATTTTCTGTCATAGGTTGTATTATTCATTACGAACTTCAAATACCAAATTTGAAACAATTCCGGTGAATAATGTCGCAAAAAACATCAAAGTACCGAATATCGGGGCCTATACGAAAACGTGAGCCTTCATACACAATGTTTCGTCATAGGCTTTGTATCCATCACGAATTCTAAATACGAAATTTACAACCAGTAAAAAAACTCTTAAAGTCGGGCGGGGCCGACTTTATGATACCCTACACCACTTTGCTAATTTAGTAGAGTTCCACATAACAATTAAAAGTTTTTATGGGAGAATTCAGTCATACAAGCTATGATTATAATTGTAATTTAAAGTTCAAAGGACTAAATATGTCGAAGCATTTGTATCCTTTAAATTGGGACATGTGTTGCCCATTTGGTGCACAAATAATTTAAAATCGGATGGCGAAGATATTTCTGAGCTGTATTTGATATATTTCCCTGAATATCATTGTTACGGATTGCATATTACGGTTGTGGATAACAAATATAACAAATCGAATGAACAATATATATGGAAGCTATGGCTATATCTGAACCGATCTTCACCAAATTTGACACACTAGAAACTAGTGTCAATTCGGTAGTTAGTTAGATAGATATTAGACGTTTGGTGCATAATAAAAAGTAAATCGGACGAAGTTATGTATGGAAGCTATATTCAAATCTGAACCGATCTCGATAAAATTTGGCAAAGATATTTCTGACCTGTATTTGATAT